CAGGTGTGGGTGCGCAGTGATGAGACATGCGGGGCCTCACGGGATGGGGGTGGAGCTGGCCCTTCCTTCCCCATCCCAAACAAGACCCTGACTCATCGCCCATGAACAGCCTCTCTGGCTCTTGATCAAGCTGCTTAACGGCCATGATCCCAGAGACTCAGGAACAAATCTCAAAGCCCAGCAGGTTTTTGGCAGAAATCCCTCCAGATTTAATTGTTAAAATTTCAGAATTTCAAAATCGTGCAGCCACTACTGCATCCACATGACATCATATGTTATTCATAACCAGCAACAGAAAACAAATTGTCTACGGTTGCCTTTTTAGCAGATCTGAGTGTTGGGGTAAAATCCCAAATAATAACTGTGGGTCTGGTGTCAAAATATTGAATGTAATCAAAGTAGAGAGAGAGTAATGTGGAAATCATCTGCCCCACAGGGAGGGGGAGGGTGCGGGATGGGGGTATGCTGAGGTGTTGGGGGGTGGAGAACGGACACTGGTGAAGGTGCGGGTGTTTCATTGTATGACCGAGACTTAAACCTGAGAGATTTGTAACTGTTCTCATGGTGATTCAATAAATAAAATTGTTAAAAAATGAAAAAAAAAGTAAGGTGGAGTTCATGCCCAATTCAATCAGCTAATCAGTGGATGAATAAATAGCAGTACTCATACATTAAAAAAAAAAAAAGAAAAACAAAGTTCTATCTTATCTATCCATTTTGGTTTTTGTAAATCACAGCAGATCTTTGCCTCCTTTCGAAACTTTGATATTTTCTATGTATTTAATTTATCTTTCTTTCTTTCTTTCTTTCTTTTTTTTTTGTTGTTGTTGTTGTTTGTTTTTGTCTTTTTTTTTTTTTTGAAATAGAAAGGTTCATTGCAAAGTGGAAGGAAAACTCCCCAGCTGGGGAGGGACTTAGTATCAGACTAAGTTCTGCACTTAAATTCTTTTCCTTCCTCCCCTCCCATTGTTGCTACTGTTGTTCTGATAAGCAGGGCTTGCACACACGTGGTCGAGATGCATCCCTGGGCTCCCACACATTAGTCATGGTGCTTGCACACACCTCTCGGGGTGCCAGACACCGGCGTGTGATACCAGCACACATGCCCTGGGCACCAGGGGTTGAACTCATGCCCTCGTGCATACCAGACAGGTGCGTCTAGATGCTGAGTCACCTTCCAGGCCTCAGATCTTTTCCTCTTGTTGGAAAAAAAAAAGTCAGGTTGTTTTGCGGCCTGAGCAACTACTCCTATAGGCAAGCAGGCTATGCCCGCCCTGAGTTACGCTGCTGTGGGTTTAAGGGTTGAGTTGGGCTGGAGGCAAGCAGAAAGAACAGAGGCAGAAAGAAGCCTGGTCCTTTCATGAACAAAGCAGCAGTTTCCGAGAACTAAGCGTTTGCTATGAAGCTCCTCTTCTGGGGAGCATTATAGCCATGAAGAAGCAAAGCCCATACAAGATGCAGCTTGGGGTCAAACAACTGCTTCCTCTTCTACAGGCTCTGCATCCACTAACTTACCTTTCTGCTGTTCTAAGATTCTTTTCCTTCCTTCACTGTCACTTCTCTACAAACTGCCTGTGCTGTAGGAACACGCCACATCAGCCCAACTTCTAAACTCTCTGGAGGGAACTGGAGAAACAGCATAGTGGGTAGGGCATTTGCCTCGCACTCAGCTGACCCAAATTGGATCTCTGGCATCCCATATGGTCCCCCAAAGATCGCCCATGATTCCTGAACGCAAGACCAGCTGTAATTCCTGAGCATCATCGGTGTGACCCAAAAAAACTAAACAAAACAAAACAAAAATAAATTTAAAAAAAAACACTCTGGAGTGACTCGTCACTAAGTGTGGAGATGTGTGCTCACAGCACTGTCCTTCTTTGCGGGGAGGGGTTGTGTGTTTTGATCACATGTGGCCATGGTGGTTGGTTTCCCAAGCACCACATGTTTGGTGCTTGGGCAACCAGTGGGTGCTGGGAATTGAACCAGATCCTCCATACAAGGCAAGTGCCTTAACCCCTGTGCTGACTATCTTTTTATTTTTTCCCCTACTCCTACATTCACAAGATGTTATTAAACTCTCAAAAGCAGAGCATAAATCTGTTTGTCCTAGTGGATCCAAATCTCCCCTTTGAGAACTTTGAAAATACAGACTCTGGTTACCAGTATCCATCCCCCACTCCTTCCCACTGATCCTTAATTCACACTGGTCAAGCCTCAGTCCCATCTTCCCAGCCCCTTCCCGGTTGTGTTGGTGGCTTTACTCTTCCCAAATCATTCTTGCCCTTTCTATTGGTTTTGGGCTTGGGGCTACCCACCCAGAGGCTCAGAGGTTACTCCCGGCTATGAGCTCAAGGAATTATCCCTGGCGGTGAGCAGGGGTATATGGGATGTCAGGGACTGAGTTGGGGGCTGAACCAACTCAACGTAAGGCAAAGGCCCCAGGCTGTTCTATTCCTCCAGCCCCTATTCATGCCCTTTCTTGAATAAGCATGAATTCAAAAGGCTTGAATTCAAGAGGCCTCTCCCATTGCCACAAGCGCTTCAGGACCTATGCCCTTGTCAGGGGCAGGTGTAACCATCTGACTTGCTTGGGCAGCTTCAAGGCCACCTCCTGGCTATGCCTTTAAAAGAGTGGCTAGCCACTTTTCCTTCCGCGGTGACAAAACAATAGGATCTTCTTCCCAGGAGGAGCCTTTGTTTGCACTGAAATCTCTGAATAAAGAAGTCCTGTAGCGCCCATCCCTCAAGCTCACCTGAGTGAGAAAAACCCCTTTGTGCAGTGCAGCCTTGAGAACCACAATGGGGGCGGAGTAGGGGCACCGGGTGTTGCAAGTGCTGCAGCTTCATCTGCTGTAGATTTTTTTTTTTTAAATCACACTCACCAGGACTGGGAAAGCACCATCTCATGTGTGTGAGGCCACGGGCTTGATGGAGTGAAAAAACGGAATACAAGAACGGAATACACACGGGGTACGTAAGGCCAAACTTCTGCTGAACTTGATACATTCACAGTCCTACAGTTTTCTATTTTCTGCCAGGAAAAGTGGTTCTTCCATGAGGAGCCTGCAGTGAGTGAGATTCCTCAGGACTTTATGCCTTATGCCTACAGAGGACTTTATTCCACCTTTCTCAGGAATAGCAGTCTCCCTGGGCATAGCATGTGACACTTAACTGGATTTTGTTTCATTTCATTTATTTTATCCTGAAAGTTTTATTGACTTTCGACATCTTCTCTTACAGATGATAAAGTCTCCTCAATCTAATCCTGATTTCTTGGTAAATAATCAGTTTCCAAAGCCAGAGAGGTAGTACAACAGGTAGAGTGCTTGCCTTGCCCGTGACTAACCCAGGTTTGATCCCCAGCATCCCGTAGGGTGCCCCTGAGACTGCCAGGAGTGATCTCTGAGTGCAGAGCCAGGAGTAACCCCTCAGTTCCTCCAGGTGTGGTTCCCAAAAAAACAAAACAAAAATATTATCTGTTTCCCTTCTTTAATAACTTTAACTATCCCCACCCACCCACCCCCCTTTTATTGAGGCATAACTGTGCTCAGGGCTTACTCTTAACTGTGTGCTCAAGAATCACTCCTGCCTGTTTGGATCACGTGGAGTTCCAGGGATGAGCCCTGGTGGTCCATGTAAAAGGTAAGTGTCCCGCCCATTGTCTGGTCCCCGTTTCCCACTCTTTGTTTTCAAGTGTAGCTTGAGGATTTTGTTTTGTTCCAGAGACTATACCTGGTGGTACTCAGGGGATACTCCTGGTTCAATGATTGGGGGACTGTGCAGTGCTAGAGATCACACTTGGAGCTCCCTAAAGCAGAGGGTGTGCTCCAGTCCTTTGAGCAGCTCCCCAGCCCTGGCTTTGAGTTTTGCAGTTTCCTCCCTCCTTGTTTGTGTTTGGAGGAGGCAGCTTCACAGTCCACCTTGACTCAGAGCCTGGTGCCTGGATTACTAAATAGACTGGCCTTCTTTCCATGTCCTCGGTCTCATAATCCCAAATCAGGCATTTTTTAAATGATGCAAAGGCCTGACCCCACCCTCAAGCATCTGATGGAGTTTATAGAACTTTCATTGGTATTAATAAACTCCAGGGGGGTTGTTGTGTTTAGTTATGGTTTGGGTTGCTGTTTGTTTGTGAGTTTGTCCATCTTCTCTTAGAAATTCCCCACCTCTTGGAGAGTCGGTGGGCAGCTTGCTTTACATGTGGCAGACTCAGGTTCAATTCACAGAATCGCATAGACTTCCCAAACCCAGGAGTCAGCCCTTAAAAAAAAGGGAAGAAAGAAAGGGAAGAAAGGGAAGGAAGAAAGGAAAGGAGGGAGGGAGGGAGGAAGGAAGGAAGGAAGGGAGGGAGGGAGGGAGGGAGGGAGGGAGGGAGGGAGGAAGGAAGGAAGGAAGGGGAGGGAGGGAGGAAGAAAGGGAGGGAGGGAGGAAGGAAGGAAGGAAGGAAGGGGAGGGAGGGAGGAAGAAAGGGAGGGAGGGAGGAAGGAAGGAAGGGAGGGAGGAAGGAAGGAAAGAAGGAAAGGAGGGAGGGAGGGAGGGAGGGAGGAAGGAAGGAAGGAAGGAAGGAAGGAAGGAAAGAAGAGAGGAAGGGAGGAAAGAAGGAAGGGAGGGAGGAAGGAAGGAAGGAAGAGGGAGGGAGGGAGGGAGGGAGGGAGGGAGGGAGGGAGGAAGGAAGGAAGGAAGGAAGGAAGGAAGGAAGGAAGGAAGGGGAGGGAGGGAGGGAGGGAGGGAGGGAGGAAAGAAGGAAGGGAGGAAGAAAGGAAGGAAGGAAGGAAGGAAGGAAGGAAGGAAGGAAGGAAGGGAGGAAGGGAGGAAAGAAGGAAGGGAGGAAGGGAGGAAAGAAGGAAGGGAGGAAGGAAGGAAGGAAGGAAGGAAGAAGAGAGAAACAATAAAAGAAAGGCCCCCTCCTCCTCTCTTCTCGAAGGCTCCCAGTGCCCCTTCCTTTGCTTTCCCCTTCCTTTCCCTTGGTTGTGGTTGTGGTTAAGACTGAAGGTCCTCAAGCTGGTTCGCGAACGGCGTGGGAGCCCGACACGCTAATCAGGATGATCACTGACGTGCAGCTCACCATCTTCGCCAACATGATGGGTGTGTCACTCTTCCTGCTTGTCGTTCTCTACCACTACATGACCTTCAACAACCCCAAGAAGCAGGAGTGACAGTGACGCTGCCCCAGGGCTCCAGAACATTGTCTGAGGCAAGATGGAGGGCATGAGGGTCCCTCACACTTCACTTCATCCCTCCTACCCATCACCACATACAAAAAGCAACTACACCTGAATTTTTCCAAACAACATTTATTTCCTCAGAGTCTTCCTTAACCCTATGGAATGAGAAGCTGCCACGTAGTAGGGCCCAGTATGGGGGATGCTATCTTTTGTACTCCACCCCCAATATAAAAATATAAATATATTTTTTCTGTAGCATTGCACTGCACTCTCCTCCCGTTGTTCATCGATTTGCTCGAGCAGGCCCAGTAACGTCTCCATTGTGAGACTTGTTGTTACTGTGTTTGGCATATTGAATACAACACGGGGAGCTTGCAGGCTTTGCCGTGCGGGTGAGATACTCTCGGTAGCTTGCCGGGCTCTCCCAGAGGGACGGAGGAATGGAACCTGGCGCGGCCAGGCCAGCCACATACATGCAAGGCAAATGCCCTATTGCTGTGCTTTGGCTCCAGCCCCGATATTTTTTTCTATGGGGAAAAAAAAAAGACTGAAGGTCATGTACACTTTGTTGTAGGTACCGGGGCTCACACATCTGGTTTTGGGGCCCAGACACCTGGCTGAGGTGCTCTCAGGGCAGTGCTCCTTGGCGGTGGTGTTTGGTGCATGTGCAGGGTGTGATGTGCACACAGCTACTGTGCTGCTCACACACATGTCTGCAGGAGTCACCTGCTGTGGGCGAGGTACTCGCACACACACTCCGGGGTGTCCCTGGGGGCAGCAGTCTCCCAGCTGTGCAGGTGGGCAGTCCCAGCAATGGCGCTCAGGGCCGATTCTTGCCAGACAGGTACTTTTGCTACCAAACCATCCCCAGGGCTTCCAGCTGCCCCTTCTTCAGATGACGTGGGCGCACACGCGCGCGCACACACACACACACACACACACACACACACACGGTGTGTTCTTCTGCTTGCTGCATGGCCCCCTTCACGGCCCCTGCAAATGAGTCACACATGCCCCCCCCCCACCTTGAAAAGAGCCATCCCACAGAGCAACCGTGCCCTCCAAACCCAGGAGACGCTCAGTGCACTGGGAGGGTTCTGTTGAGTCTCTTCCTTTCTCCTATCAGCTCAGCAAACAGAAAGAAATGAGTTAGTTACTCATGGCCTTATGGAGATGAGTCATGCTCCTGTATTAGTGAGTCCACCTCTGAACCATGAAGACCCCAATTAATTGGCTTCATGGAATCTACCTTTTCACCCCACACAGATAAACCTCCTCGGCAGGCAGTTGAGGCTGGCTCTGTGTTTCCTGGTGGTGTTTCCAATGTTGTGGAGACTGACTGCTTTTCTCTTTGACCTTTCTTGGCTTGTAATGTCCCTTTCAATTTTTTTTTCTTTTTGGATCACACCCGGCGAGGCACAGGGGTTACTCCTGGCTTTGCACTCAGGAATTACTCCTGGTGGTGCTCAGGGGACCATACGGGATGCTGGGAATCGAACCCGGGTTGGCCGCATTTAAGGCAAATGCCCTACCTGCTGTGCTATCACTCCAGCCCCGGTAATGTCCCTTTTTTGTTCATAAGAAGGTCCTTTGAGTTCCAGCATCAAGACTGTGCTCCTGCCAGAGCCAAGAGGAGGTGAGGAGGGCAGGAAGGTGTGCCCTTCCCACCTGAGGCACCTGCCCTGAAGACAAGTGCCTGCCTCTCCTGCCTAGGTGGCTTTTTGGCTACCAAGGCAAATGTTCTGTTGTTTCAAACAAATTGAATGTATCAACCTTCTGCCTTCATGTTTGGTTGTTCTGCCTCGCACATTAGCTTACTTCCTGACTCCGAATTAAATTCTATTTAGATGAGCTATGTTCAATTCTTAAAATAAATATGTGTTTTGATTCCCATGGCTCATGGCTATATTCAAAGACTAAATCGATAGCTATAAAATGGGTAAAAGGTTGAAGTAGCAAAGTCACTGACTAGACCAAACTTGAAATACCATCCAGGGAGCACTATAGAATTGGCAAAATTAACTTACATAACTGCCAGTTAATTCCGTTCCATATTTACCTGACAACTTTTGTGCTGGCAAGGCACCAAAGATTATTTTAGTGGGTGCCGGGGACAATCAAGACAGCAAGTCCTTGATCTGGAGAGATTGCATGCCACCATTCAATTTATTGCATGCCACCAACCTGGGTTTGATCCCTGGCACCCCAAATGGTCTCCCAGCAGAGCCAGAGTCAGCCCTGAGAACAATCAAGTGTGGTAATCCTCCCTCCCCACTGCAAAATGGGAGGGGGCTCATTAAAGAGCTCCAGTTCCAATGACTCACAGGTGAGTGAAAGTGGGGGAAAGTCCCAATTCCTTTGGGGATGGGAGGGTCACACCCAGTGGTGCTCAGGGGTTACTCCTGGCTCATACAGTCAGAAATTACTCCTGGCGATGCTTGGGGGACAATACGAAATGCTGGGAATTGAACCCGGGTTGGCCAAGTGCAAGGCAAATGCCCTACCCGCTATGCTATAGCTCCAGCCCTCCCCCCAATTTCTTTTACCCAACGGCAATGTCACCTATATCTCTGAAAGAGAACCCCCACGCGTCACGGTGAACAGGAAGAGTAAAGAAACTCAAGGCAGGGGATTTCCTCATAAGAACCCAATATTGTTCTGCATTGGTCTTTGCTGCCCACGATCCACACCCCACAGTCAGCACCACGTGCTTGATCCACTGACCAGACTCCACCAACTCCCTGCTTTCGACTTCTCTGGAACTTACAATTCTGCGCCTCCCCTTCTCGAGGTTCTGCCATCATCCCAGTGGCTTTTTGGGGTCTCCATTCACGCTTCACGTGTTTTCTGAGCTTGTGCTTTGGGTTTTGTGCTATGAGCCAGTGCTGTGAGGGTAGATCCAACTCAACTCTCGCTCTCAAGGGAGGCACCAAGTATTTTTGCGTCTGTTTAGCTAAGAGTGAGACTCTCGAGCCACTGTTAGTGGAGGTGGGGGGGGAGGAGCGGGAGAGACAGAGCCAAGTCCAGCACAAAATGGGCTGTTGGGTTGAGAGCAGTGAGCCCAGGAGGCGAGTTGCCCTCACCCCACACTCTCCCTCTTCCCCTTCCACCTCCTCTTCCTCCTCCTCCACCTCCTCCCGGGCTCCGCTCAGCCAAGCCTGGCTTCCATTCAACCTTGCCGGAAATCCCCAACCCAATTTCCAGTCTCTGAAACAATGCCTCTCCAGAGCCGAGTCCCATTGTCCTTGGAACTGGAACAATGAGAGAGTAGAGCCTCCTCTCTGGCTTCAGGCGACCTCCCAGCCTCCCGCCCCGCACCCCCCAAAGTAAAAGCTTCCTCCTCTCTCCAATCAAGGCCCCCATCTGTAAGGAGGCAGGAAGTCGGGGGAGGCCCGAGAGAAAGCACTTTCCATTAACTGCTTCTGAACCCTAATCTCAGCCCCAGCCTCCCAAGTGGACCTCAGGCCTGCCCTCCTTTGGCCGGAAGGAAGAAGGCCTCTTTCTGCACACTACAACTGGACACTGTGTGTGTGGAGGAGGGCTGAGTCCTGGGGTCCACAAACCTCTGTGAGTGCCCTTTAGCGTCCTGAGCCCAGCCCTGGAGTGAGGCCGTCCTGAAGTGTTTGGCAGTTCCCCTTTCTTCTCACTGCCCAGCTTTCTCCCACTTCCAATTCTGACCCCAGGAGACCCCTGTCCACTTCAGCCCCGGATGGTGCCAAAAGGGCTATTCTGTAGGGGGGTGTGGGGGTGGGCAGTGGGGCTTTCCCTCACCACCCTGGCGCCCGACTAGATCGGGTTACTGGAGGCAGTCTGGATTTGAATGTGCAAATAAACAGAAGTTGCTTTGATCCCTGAGGCTGAGCGGGAGGGGGGAGAGAGCTGAGTGCCCTGGTCAGAGAAGTGCATGCCGGGCGTTGGAGGGCCGGGGCGGGCAGGCGGGGGTATGGAGCCAGGCCTCCCTCGGACTGGACAAGGAAAGCTAGTTTGAAAGAAAGGAGCTCCGGAAGGAGGCAGGGAGCCCCTTCAGACCTTGCAAACTCCCTCTGGAAACCAAAGATGGCAACCGGGCTTCCCCTGTCCTAGGAGGGATGTGGAGGGCCCGGACCCCACCCTCCCTCTGGGCCTCTCCCCGCTGGGACTGTGGGGACAGGGGGAGCAGGGAATGGAATGATGGGTGTGCGGCTCAGGGTGGGGCCCTGGGTGGGGAGGGGGTAGGACCCATTGTCTCCCTGGGCACCAATCCACAGCCACGGGCTGGCTCTGAGAGGGAGAGACAAAGGGAGCTAGGAATGAAATGGTAAGTAAAGGCAAACAAAAGTGAACCGGGGGAGACAAAAGCTGGGAACAATATTCCCCAGGCAATAGGCTGGGGAACAATAGGGACAGTGACAGGCCCACAAAGACACCAGTGTCTCCAAGTAGACGTTATCTCAGGCAGTGGTTGGCAGCCCCGCTCCCAGGCAGCTATTTTCAGTGCGGCTTTTGTGCCATGCTGAACAATATTCCTTGCATGGCTGCTGATAGAAAGATGAGAAGGTTTCTGTTTGATTCTTCTCTTCCTTCCCTCCCCCTGCCTCTCTTCCCAGCCCCCCACCAGCTCCAGGCGGTCTAGCTCAAGTCTGGGTAGGGGTGTGTGCGTGCGTGTGTGTGTGTGTGTGTGTGTGTGTGTGTGTGTGTGTCTCGGAAGGGGACCATGTAGCCAAGCAGGAGGCTCTCTAGCAGTTAAGCTTCACCAGGGTCTCTGAGGGGAAGAAAGTAGAGACTGGGATTGGCCAAGTGGAGAGCAGGGGCCTGGAGTGTGTGAGAATTGCTTGGGGAAGTGAGTTCCGTCTTCACCAATGCACACAAGACTCAGCCACTGTGTATTCATCACCAGAGCTCTGAGGGGTCCCACCCTGCCCTCCCTCCTTTGTGCCAGCCGTCAATGCTGTCTCCCATCTTTGTTTATGTTTTTCAGCTCCTTAACTAACCTCCCCACTTCTTTCACCACCCCTGCCACCCCCATGTATACCTAAGGAATCCAGTGAACTAGTCCTGGCTTGGGGAGAGTCTGCTACTCTGCTCCTCTGGCCTTCCGTGGGCTCAACACCATCCCACGGGGTGCTCACAATCCTGGTCTACGACGGTACCCACTTTTCACGGAGGATTCCTTCCTGAATTCCACCACATTCCTTCCTGAGGAGGTGTTTTTG